ACAAAAACCTGACAGATTAGTACAAAAACCTGACAGATTAGTACAAAAACCTGACAGATTAGTACAAAAACCTGACAGATTAGTACTGTCTGAGCAGAAACATGTCATAAATCAGCCACACTGCAAAGCTTTTGGATCTTTTCTTGAAAACATGGTGATGTGGGTAAACCAGCCAACAAAATGTCTCCAGTCTAACAGGACTACACAACATAACAAATATGTTGTCATCACAATGTCAGAGTGTGTAATATTCATGCCACAATAATTGTTGACTGATGCAGTTAAAGTGTTTGAGTTAGTTATTATTTTCTTCATTGTGTTTTAGTTTATATTTATTTCATTAACTAAAATGATTTTTAAACTTTAGTTTTGGTTATTTCGTTAGTTTTAGTGAACTATAATAATCCTGCCACAGAGTCCCACCAAGGCGGGCCTCGGACCCATCAAGTCTCCCAGGATGCCCAAGTGTTCCCGGTGCAGGAACCACGGGTTTGTGTCTCCTCTGAAAGGACACAAGAGGTTCTGTAGCTGGAGGGACTGTCAGTGTGCCAAGTGTAAACTGATAGCAGAGAGACAGAGAGTCATGGCAGCTCAGGTAAGACAATACCTGCATGACACCTGAGTTCATCTGATGTTCTGTTTAATGTCGTGTTTCACTAATGACTTGGAGAAGTTATCTGTGATCAGATCAGATCAAGTCATCAATAAAAATATTATCTTATTTAGCAGTCAATATGGATTTAGAGCCAATAACTCTGCTTCAACGGCTCTCCTGGAACTGACAGAACAAATAACAGATGTTATTGTACATAATTATGTAAATTATGTAGATTTAAAGAAAACATTCGACACGACTGACCACATGGGGTTAGAGGACCAGCATGAATATCTAGTTATTTGGAAAATAGGAAGCAGTTCGTACAAGTACATGATGTCAGATCTGAACTCTGTGGAATCACATGTGGAGTTCCTCAGGGTTCTATACTTGGACCAAAGTTGTTTATCTTGTATGTAAGTGACTTGGTTAACGTGTCAGGACTCTTTAAATGTGTTTTGTTTGCAGATGATACAACATTTTTTTGTTTGGGTAAAGACAGAACGAATGTTAGAGAAAATGTAAGCAGAATTTGTGAAAAAAAAAACTGGTTTAAACTCAACAAATTATCATTAAACTTGGATAAAACTAATAATATACTAACAAAGAGACAAAGAACTGTTAACGTTCCATTCAGAGTTGATGCTGTAGAGATTAGTAGACAGAGAGGTAAAGTTTTTGGGTGTTATTATTTTTAGTTTAGTTTATTCATTTCATTCATTTCTTTAAAAACAACATAAATTCAACAACAAACAAAAAACACAATTTAAATGAAAGGCAGCAGAAGAAGAAACATTTTTATTATATCTGCCTCTTTTTCTCAAAATAAAATCTGTCAAAATTATCTACAGATTACAAAAAAGAAAGAAAAAAATAAAAGTTTAAATCCTTGAACAACAGCTCATACATGAACATATTTCTCCAGCAAATTAACCTTTATCATTCTCTTAAACATACACATTAATCTGGCATTTTTAATGTCATTTTCCAGATTATTCCATAATTTAATTCCCTGGACTGAAGGACTCTGTTCCTTTAAACTGGTTCTAATTTCAGGTTTGACAAACGTTTCTGTCCCCTTCAGATTATAACAACTGTCTGTTTTAACAAAGTGTGACTGAAGGTTTGAAGGTAATGTGTTTTATGAGCCCTATAACTGATAAAATACTATAATCAACCAAATCATAGAATTTCAATAAGTTCAGCTGATGGATCAATGAGTTTGATGGGTGAAATAATGTTTTCTGGTGATAATTCTTACAGCTCTGTTCTGTAAAATAAAAATAGGATTTATAATTGTTTTACATGCTTTTCCCCAAACATCAAAACTGTAGATCAGGAGTGGAACAATTATTGCTTTATATAATTTAAACAGACCTTTATCATTAAATAAATCCTTTACTTTGTACAATACTGCAATAGATTTAGCTATTTTTGTTCTTAAATGATTTATATGAGGTCTCCATGTCAGCTTCTCATCTATAACACTCAGAAACTTCACGTCACTGACTCTACAGATCTCAATACATCGACTCTAAATGGAACATCGACAGTTTTCTTTCTGTTATCAAATATCATATAATTAGTTTTATCTAAATTTAATGATAATTTATTGAGTTGAAACCAAGTTTGTATTTTAACAAATTCTGTCTGCATCACCACCAACATCCGTTCCACATCTTTACCACAACAAAATAATATTGTATCGTCTGCAAATAAAACACAATGAACAACCCTGACACATTTACCAAATCATTTACATATAAAATAAATAGCTTTGGTCCAAGTACAGAACCCTGAGGCACACCATGTGATATGACAATTCAGATCTTACATCATTTATTTGTACAAACTGTCTTCTATCTTTCAAATATCTGTAATGCTGCTCCTCTAATTCTGTATTTGTTCAATTTTTCAAGAAGAATTCTGTGATCAGTGGTGTCGAAAGCTTTATTTAAGTCAACATAAACACTAACAATATTGTTTTTGGTCAACAGCAGTTATTTGCTCTACTAAGTCCATGAGGGTCATTGATGTGGAATTATTAGTTCTAAACCCATACTGACTGCTACTTAATATATTATGTTTATCCATAAATTGATCTAATCTAGTCACAAATAACTTTTCCAGACTTTTTGAAAACTGGTAAGAAAGATACAGGAAAATCTCTAAATTTTAAGGTGTTTTTCCTCAAAATCAGTTTTTTAATCAGGAAATATTCCTGTTGAAAATGATAAGTTACAGATAAATGTGAATGGTTCAATCACAAAACCCATTATTTCTTTCACAAACATCATGTCCATGTACATGTCCATGTCCATGTCCATGTTCATGTTCATGTCCATGTACATGTCCATGTCCATGTCCATGTTCATGTTCATGTCCATGTCCATGTCCATGTTCAAATCCATGTTCATGTCCATGTCCATGTCCATGTCCATGTCCATGTCCATGTTCATGTCCATGTCCATGTCCATGTCCATGTTCATGTCCATGTCCATGTCCATGTCCATGTTCATGTCCATGTTCATGTCCATGACCATGTCCATGTCCATGTGCATGTCCATGTCCATGTCCATGACCATGTCCATGTCCATGTTCATGTTCATGTCCATGTCCATGTCCATGTTCATGTCCATGTCCATGTGCATGTCCATGTCCATGTACATGTACATGTCCATGTCCATGTTCATGTTCATGTCCATGTCCATGTCCATGTTCATGTCCATGTTCATGTCCATGACCATGTCCATGTCCATGTGCATGTCCATGTCCATGTCCATGACCATGTCCATGTCCATGTGCATGTCCATGTCCATGTCCATGACCATGTCCATGTTCATGTTCATGTCCATGTCCATGTCCATGTTCATGTTCATGTCCATGTCCATGTCCATGTCCATGTCCATGTCCATGTCCATGTCCATGTCCATGTTCATGTCCATGTCCATGT